CCTGCCTAGGCTGACTTCAAACCATTATCTTCAGATCTCAGACTTCTGAGTAGCTAGGATTACAGACATGAGCCACCGTGCCTAGCTGGAAATAGCCATTCTAAAACAGTTGTCTTCCTTCTTATGCCTTTCTCATGGCTGAGTTGCCTTTTTTTTTTTTTTAATAAGGTACTATAGAACTTTAGAGTCATGAGATGACAGTAAAAACAAAAGGTTTTACATATAGTTCCTCTCCTAAAAGAGGTGAAGAATTCAGACTCTTGAGAAAACTTAGGAACTTTCAAAGGCTCCACAGAAACATGACATTTCCATGTAATAGCTGGTTTCATTTGTCCCTAATCTTATCAGAAACTGAACTGAGCTCTTAGTGTACTGAGGCACTTAGCACTAGGAGCCCAACCACCTGGCATTCATGTCCAGGCTTTTCCACTCACCACTGGATGACCTAGATGGGTCTCCCAAACTCTGTGCATCTTATCTCCAAAACAGTCATAGAATGAGCAGCACCCACTTCATAGGGTTTGGATAGGAGCAAATGAATGAGTGTGGTGAAATACTCCAAACAAGGACCCATACACCATAAGCTCATTAGCAATTGGAGTTTTGGTCAACTCAGAACAAAAAAGAAAAGACAGTTTTAGCTGCCTACCTTTTACCATTTCCTTATCAATCACAAACATAAAAGAAGGGAAGAGGACCACTGCCTGTTCTATAATTAATCTGAATCTCTAAGGCTGTTTTCAAGATATTTTTCAGGGACTTCATAATTCACTTGGAATGAATAAGACAGCTTCTGCTGTCTTAGAAATTTGTGTGGGATTCCAATCTGGTTCTGCCACTTCTTGCATTAGGACCTTAGTCATTCTACCTAGTCTCTCCAAGCTTCATTGCACAATCTGTACAAAGAGGACAAGACAGTCTAACCTCATGAGTCTATGGTGAGGCTTGGATTTTATAAAGTGCAGATATATGAGATAAAGCTCAAAAACTAGCAGATTAAACTACTATGTTGGTATCACAATTTCCTCTCATCTTTAATTGGACAGGATATACAAGGCTGTTCCTCTCCTACCCTCTGTATAACAACCAGAAAATTGGGATACTCCTATGAGAAGATCTACCATGGTGATGTGAAATGCAAACAAAAACTGCTATCCCCAAAGCAGTTGGAGTAGAATCTGTATTGCTTAGTTCATAAGTTTTCTTTGGCCAAGGGTGACCAATTTGTATGAAATGAGAAAGGAATTTTATTCCAGGAACCTGAGAGCTCACTCACATATTCTGACATATTTTCCCACCCCCCCCCCCCCCCCCCCGTTACATTTTTTGTCTTTCTAAGGACTAAGGACATTACCTTTTAATTTATAAATGTTCTTAGAAATGCATTTCTTTCCCCTCATTCTGAAAGCCAATCCATCTTTTGTCTTTTTACAGCTGGGAATAACAACAGCATAACACATAAAAAAAAGCATTAGTTGTGGCTCTTGGTTGCTGGCTTCTAACAATTTACCACTATCCAACTTTGTAATTTGGGGAAATTTCTTCTGATCTCAAGTTACATATGTTTATCTAACAGGATCTTTTGCCTGAATTGGAGAACCCTTTCAGGTGGCTTTAAACATATCCTCTACTTCCACATTCTCCTGAAACTGCCTATCTTCAACTTTGGCCCTCTAGTCTTTTACCTTGCTTGCTTTCCTTCCTTCCTTTTCTTTTCTCTTCCTTCCTTCCTTTTTTTCTTTCTTCTTCCTCTCTCTTTCTTCATCTCCCTCCCTCCCTTCCTTTCTCTCTTGCTTTCCCCCTGCCCCTCCACACTCATGTGTCTTTTTTAAGGTTTTTTTTTTTAAGCCTTCTAAGAATCTCCTTTAAACCAGCAAGTACTGGTAGCTACTGAGTACTTAAATGTGGCAAATCCTCAAAGAGATGTAATTCCATATAAATTTAGGTAAGTCTATATTCATTCTGTATCTATATAAATATATATTTCATATAGATACCATACCAGATATTAAAGATGTAGTAGGAAAAAAAGCATAAGATAGTCCATAAACAATTATATTGGCTACTCTTGAAATGACACTATTTTTTATGTATTTAGTTGAATAAAATATATTCAGAAAAATGACATCTGTTTTACTTTTTTATGTGGCTATTAGGAAATTTTAAACTGTAGACACAGCTCACATAATCTATACTGGTCTACACTGAAGGTTCTGGGAAGGCACTTTGCCTGCTCATCTGTCTCAACCCCTCCCTCTCCCTCCTAGTAATTACTAAGTGTACAAGTAGTACATACAGAATTAACAGTGTCTCAATCTCTCTGTGCATGTGATTTGCAATTTATACACTAGAGATTGTCTCTATTTGTAAATTATGGTAATAAGGTAGTCAAGAAATCTGTTCATTAAAAGGTTAAAAAGTAGGTGAATATACTGCTTTTGCTGAAAAGTATGAAATTATTTGTGATTCCCTAGACAATCCTTTATATTTTTCAATTTGTTCTTTGAATTACATATTAAAATACTACAAATTAAATGAAGAAAGAGGACAATGAAACAATTCAAAGAGGAAAACTGTAGAAATTATCAAAGGTAAGTTGAACTATGAGGATAATCAGTACCAAGGCAGTACCCTCACACTCATGATGAAAATTTTTAGTGTTAGAATTTATAAAAACAGAAGGCTCATGGGACATAACTCCAGTATTTATCCAAGAAAGAAGGCATCTGTTTCCAAACATGATCACTGGCAACAAACAAAAGAGAGAGGAAGACAAATTCTTGTCACCAAAATACTTGGATGAGTGATTCACAACTCAAAATATGCAACAGTTCTTTCACTTATGAGCCAGGTCTCCAGGACACAGTAGACTTAATAAAGGAAGGTGCAGTTTAGTAGGTATGTAGGATTCCCCCAGGACACTTTTCTTTTCCCACTTTGGATTCCCATTTCCATTTCCCTTCAGCAAGAGCCAAACAATACAGCCACCAGCACACCCATATTCATTCCAGCACTATTCACCATACTCAAGATATAGAATCAGCCCAGATGCCCCTCAATGGATGAACAGACCAAGAAAATATGGTATATATACACAATGGACTTTTACTCATTCATTACAAAGAATGATATGGTACCATTTGTCAGGAAATGGAAAAACTTGGAAGAAATTATATTGTCAAGTCAGGCTCAAAGAGACAAAGATTCTATGGTTTCCCTCTTATGTGGCAGCTAGAATTATTTTATAAATAAATAAACATGTTGGGTGGTGTACAAGTGGTTACACATGTATTATCTAAAATATGGTTGATTCTAGGGGGAACTCAAATAGTGTAATTCCTTAGAAAAGCAAAGTCAGTCAAAGCTCAACAAAATAAGCACTTACAAGAGGAGGGGTGAGGCCAAGGGGAGAGGGGTGGATACATGAAGATGAGAAAAGGAAGAGAATGCAGTCAACAAATCAATGTGTAGTCTACAAAATTAAGAAAAATAAGAGAAGGGGTGGGGTGGGGGTGAGAATGTTGAAAGGGGTGACACTGATCAAGATGTATTCATAAAGTGCTTTGTTAAATAGCAATTCCTTTGTACAATTACTTAAAGACAATTTAAAAACCGAAAAAAGTTTAAAAATTAAAAAATTAAATGAAGAGGGAAAAACAAAACCAAACAACTGCTGATCCCACTACTGAGACAAATCCCAAGAGAGAAAAGGAGGAGGATAAGAGGACAGGGCAGGAGGGAGAGAAAGAGTGAAGAGGAGAGGGAGAAAGAGTGAGAAGGAAAGGGAGGAATAAAAGGAGGGAGGTAGGGAAGAAAGAAGGAAGGAAGGAAGGGAGAGGGAAGGAGGGAAGGAGGGGACTCAAGGAAAAGGGAGGGTAGAAGAGGGAGAGGAGGGAAGGGGAAAAAAGGGGAAGGGACTGGAAGAAGAGGAAAAAAGGGGGAAGGTAGGAGAGGGAGAAAAGGGGAGTGTGAACTAGCCACAGTGATAAACCCACTCAATATGGAAACTGAATGCATGTGAAGATGTTAAGAGAACAGAATATACAGTGGAGGATGGGAATCCAAAACTAGAGACTAATTTGATCCAAAACTATTTCTGTAGTCTCCATGTTCGTTGAGAACCTTAAAAAAGTCTTCTAAGAATTCTCTTTAAACCAGGAAGAACCAAATCACAAAAATCTCCACTGCCAGAGCTAGAACTGAGCACCTTCCCTTGACCCAAAAGACAAAAAAGTTATTCTCTTACAGGCTAGGAAGAAGGGGAGAAGAAACTATAGGACAGAAGGTGGAGGACAGAACAGGGCAAGAAAAGTAATAATAATTTTCTAGAAGGCACAAGTAGCTAGGCAACAGGTTTCCCTTGTAGCTGAAACTACATATAACCTAGGACAAATCAATTCTGAATCTATTCTTATATTCTGTTAATGAAAAACAGATCAGTTCTTACTTTCTGTCAACTTCACCACCAGTTGTTTTTTTTTTAAATCATTTTAACCATTTTGCCATGTGCACAAAGCACATCAATCTGGGGAGAAGAAAGAGGAAATTACCGAAGATGTCGATCACCAATTTAATAACGATGTGGGTGGTGAAGCTTGAGAGCTTAGTTTGGGAGTGCCAGGGAGGGGAGAGAGAGAAACCACATCATTAGGAACTGGGCCTAGAAAGATCTCTAGGTGGAACGTGTCAACGTTTTAAAGGGCACAGCTCTTTCGGCCGCAGAACGCACCGGAGGGCGGGGCAGGCGGCGAGAGGGGCGCTGCTTACCCGGAAACCCGCGGAGGGAGGGGGAACACCCCCAAAACAGACATCACACCGCTGTACGCAGTACACCGCCCCTCTCCCGCTCTTCTCCCCGAACGCGAAAGCGCACCCAGGATCCAATGGGGTAGGACTGACAGGTGGGCAGCCTCCGCCTCCTGGTCAGGGGACCGAGGAAAGGCCCCCAAGAGAGGCTGAAAAGTGAGGGGAAACGGGCACGAAGGACGGAGACGCGTTACCTTGTTCATCCCATTCCCCATGGTGGCGGCCGCGCTCCGAGCACGCCGGTCGCCGCGCTCGCCGGCGGAGGAGGGAGGGTGGGGCGCGGGAGGAGCGTCGCGGGGCGCTGGAGCTCCGCAGTAAACAACCCGGACACTAATCAACGTCCGGGCGGGCCCCGGGGACTGGGCTGGCTACCAGGACCTGGCATGACGACAGTGTTTTCCGCTAAGCCGCCCCGGAACTTCCCGGCGACTTTACCGGGAAATGGTCTCGATTTGAGGGCCCCGCCCCCGCGCACGGGGAGTGCGAGCTTCCCTCCCCCGCAGCCTGAGACACGCACCCTGGGGTTTGTAGTCGGTTCCGGGTGGCCGCTGGGGGGGGGGGGGGGGAGGAGGTGGAGGTTGGGGGTGGAAAAGAGAGGGGACGCGCGTGCGCATCCCGAGCACCGCCAAGCGTCACAGGCTCCTCCTCTCCGTACCTCTAGTTCCCCCCACCCCGGGGGAAGGGGCAGGCAGAGCGCAGGCGCTGCAAGGCAGTTGGGGGTTGGAGGGGCGGGGAAACACGCTGTGGTGTGTGGGAGTCACTGCTGGCCTTTTCCCCAGGGGCCACTTGGGAGCCTGTTACCAGCAATCTCTTCCCTACCATGACTACCTCTGTGAATCCGGTGATGATCAGAACCCTGGTCTTTGGGGCTCCCCTGTCTGGGTTTTCTGAGGACAACAGATTTAGACCGGGGATTCCTGTGGCCCTACCCCTCCCACTAAGACCGAGAAGGCTCTTGGTGCAGAAAGGTGAGCTAGGTGACTCACCACTATTGAAGCCTGACCCCCTTACTCAAGGAGCATATAATACATGCCGACAGTTTGACCTCCAACATCACTGAATTGTGTCCCTTTCATGGAAATGGGAACTGGCCCTGGTAGGTGCCTAGGTGCTGGGGTGGCTGAGCCTAATTTTTTGCAGACTTCCTGGTGCCTAGGCAGGAGATGGGGAGCTATTTACTCAGCTCCAAGGCCTCGAGGTGAGACAAGCCAGCCTTTGAACTACAGATGCCTGGCTCAGTGGGGGTGAACTAGAAGGGCTCTGCTTCAGAGGAAAATGCGGGGGCTGGGAAGGTGGCTCAGTGGTAGAGCGCTTGCCTTGCATGCCTGAGGCTCTGGGTTCGATTCCTCAGCACCACATAGCAAAAAGAAAAAAAACTGGAAATGGCCCTGTGGCTCAAGTGGTAGAGGGCTAGCCCTGAGCTGAAGAGCTGAGGGACAGCAGCCAGGCCCAGAGTTCAGGACCCAGGACCGGACCAAAAGAAAAAAAAAAAAGAAATGCAGATGTAAAGGCCTTAGGAAAGCTCTGATTAGCTCCCTAAATGGCTTGACTCACCAACCTTTGAGTAGCCTCTAAACATACCCTATATGGAAGGCTAAAGCCTCTCTTCCCTAGATGGAAAAGTTTTGCTGGTATGTCCATTTAAGGTCTGGCATCTTGTCTTCATGGTAGGGGGAAGGTGATTACCCCTCCCCTCCATGACAAGACACAGGACACAATCATGGAGACACATGTGGCATGGCATACTGGTACCTGTGCTGGTCTGGGCCTAACTAGGATAAGTGCAGGGGGCAGGTCCATGGGAAATTACTAGTCCCAGACACTGGACTGACAGGTTCAGTAAACTATCAGCCAAGTGCCTGCCCCTGCCACCAGGTATCAGGCATGCCCATCACCCGGAAGGCAGGTGATGGGAGGGGGGTAGCTTACCTTCCCCCAGCATGAAGACTAGATGCCAGACCCTGCTATCCACCATGTGGCCAATATGGCGCTGGCCAGACCTGACTTCTTTACTTCATTCCCCTTTTTTTCCTTAATGTACATGAAATCAAATCATTGGTTTCTCTGTAAGAGGGCTGAATTTTTGCCTGGGCTGTTTACTCCTGTAACTTAAGGAGTCTCCAACAGTTAAAGTTGGCTCCATATGGTTGGTACCAATACAGTCAGGGGACTTTGAACTTTCTTTCCCAGGTTAGGCAGGGTAAGGTTTTAAAATATATGTCCTACAGAAAGAATCCTACAACCAAACCCTTAGGTTAGGCAGATCTAAAGCAGTCTTTCACCAAGAGTCAGCTGCATGTGATCGAGTCAGGAAAGAGTCCAGTCCACTTTTACCAAGGTGGAGGTGGTCAGGATGATGCTGTAGTCTCCTCCAGGTGATGTCAGGCTGTCCTTAAACTTTACCCAAAGGAGTGGACAGCAGCAGCAGCAAAGGTGTCTCCTATGGACTCCAATGGATTGGCACATCTCCTGTTGGGTTGTCTACAAATTTCTGCAAAACTGGTTAAAGAAGCTTTTACCTAGAGCCTGACTTTAGTGAAATCTCCCAATATTTTCCTGGTTGTTTACACTGGCTTTTGTAGGCTGTTATCTCACTAGTTTTTAAGACTACCATTTAGGCAGTGGCCCCTGGGTAATTTACCAGGGTGACAGATTTTTACTAACCAGATTTCTTTTAAATAAGGCTAGCATTTTCTAGGTAGACACAGAAAGCTTAATTCACCTTACAACTGTCTCTGGTCATCATGGCATCCCAGTTCAGTTCTCTATCAGAGCTGAATTGGTTTGTTGAATTGTTTTTGTTCTTTCTTTCCTATTTGGCCTGTTTCCTAACCATGGTATGTGTATTTTGGAGCTGCAGGCCTTTGTTACAATGGGTGGCCTGCAGACTGCTAGTGTTTAATAAAGATTACAATTCCATCTTCCAAAATGTGGCTTCTAGGATAATTCACCTTACAACAGTGTATATTGATAAGTTCACTGCTGCTGGAAAGCCCACATACTCACTTAGAAACTTAGCAGTGTTTACCTTATTATGAGAGAAATGAAGTACTTTCTAAGTTGTAGCAGGATTGGTTTGGTTATTCTATCATCCTATCTAAACTTTTAGATTCCTCTCCACACAGAATCTTGTGGTCAGATGTTTCTCAGTTTCTTTTTTTGCATCTTTGGGAATGCTCTGCACATAGCGGGTGTTTAAACAGTACTTTTTTGAATAAAGATATACTGGGGCTGGAAAGGTAGCTCAGTGAAAGAGTGCTTGCCTTGAATGCATGAGGCCCTGGGTTCTGTTCCTCAGCACCACCACATAAGCAGAAAAAGCCAGAAGTGGTGCTGTGGCTCAAGTGATAGAGCACTGGCCTTGAGCTGAAGAGCTGAGGGACAGTGCCCAGAGCCAGAGTTCAGGCCCCACAACCAGCAAAAAAAAAACAAAAAAAGACATACAGCCAGTTGATGTGGTGTGGCTGGTGTCTCTTGTCCCCATCCATTTGCTCCTACATGCTAAATTACACCTCATAATCCTGTGTGTTCCTTAGATTTGTCAGGTTTGCTACTGGGCAAGGCCTGTGCTGAGCCATGTCCTCTCTCTTCCTCAAACATCTGAAGTCCTCAGCTCTTTACATAGTATCTTATAAAGTTGAGACTCCAGTTGCTATCACATTAATCTATTTAAAATTTTCAGAGCACTCAAAATTAGAGATTATCATATTTCCTTATTTTTGGTCTGCCCACTAGACATCAACCTCCCAACAGAGAAAGACCTTGTGTGACTTTTGACATGGCCTTGTGACCTAGCACAACATAAGATTTATTAAAACATTTGTCAAACTAGTAAATTTTGAGAACTGAGAAAACAAATCATGAGATTCAGAATAAAAGAAAATTTTAGAATGGGAATGCAGATATTTTGCTAAGAGGTGGCAGACTCTGCTTAATGTTATTTTTCTCTTTGTACACATCTTCAGGGCAATCAAAGGTACTAGAATCTCTATGTGTAGGAAGTCCCAAGGAAATGTGGACCACATAGTTTCCCATAGACAGACCCAGACCTTCTGCCCCTTACTCTCGTGCTGTTTATTCCCCATCACCTTTACTTCCTTTTCCACATCTTGACCTCCAGGCACACATGGACAGCCTGTCCCCTTCCTTCTGTACCACACTGTCATTATGTCATTAATCCGTGTGTTCTTCTGATTTAGGGATAGCACAGCATGGTCAGTGGTCTACTAAGAGAATCTCTATGTGATCTTGGGCAAGGTCAACGTTTCTCAGTCAGCTTTTTACTTTTTTGGTTCAATAGGAAAACCTGAGACGATGACAACCAGAATGAAAGAGTGAGATACTTTCTTGCTTGCTTGCTTGCCTGATTTTTGGGGCAATTATTCATAAGAGACTACCTCTCTTCACTCCTCTTCATTCCTAGAACATAATACCATGTCCCTCCATCATTAATTTTTATTATAATTCTATGATTTCTGTTCTCTCTGATCCCTGATTATGGAAAGAAGGGAAGGGGAGGCAATCCCCTAAACAACCCTAGCATGTTTCACATCTGTTTGTGTTTTCATATCTGTTTATTTGGATTACTATTAGGTTTGCCTAGAGAAAGGCTCACTTTTCTCCATGCCAGTCTGCATGTAGACTTCCCTCTCGTCTACTGTTTTGCATGCAGGACCTCACATGTCCTTGCACTTGCATTGCCTAGATGACTGGCATACCCAGAAACAGTTACCTCTCCTTTCTCTGAGGTCACATCCTGAACTGCCCTATCACGCCTCCTTCAGACTATGGGAGGTTCCCAGGCTCTGAAGTCACATCCACATCCACCATGGCCACTCTTCCTTCCTCCCCTCCTCTTACATCAACCCCAATCCCACCAGAAGTTGTGCTTTTCCTTCTTCTTCCTTCCCATTCTTCCCTTCCTTCCCTTTCCTTCCCTTCCTACCTCCACATACTTCCATCTCATGTGAGCCAGCAATATACTCTTCCCCAATAAAATCTTTTCTGCCTGAACTATATGGTGGTTTCCTTTTGGCTAAGGCTTACATAATGGTGCTGAAAACCCAAGAGGGGACAGAATCAGGAGCCACTGGATCCCTTCCTCTTCTCATTCTGAGGGTCAGTCTGGTATCCACCTCCTTGAGCACCCTTCCTTGAACCAAAAAAGCTGGAGGAACCCCACCTTGGACTTCTCACCATTACCATTCCTGACCTTGTATCCATGACACCAATCTCCCACCACTGTCTACTTGCAAGTGTCTACAAGCTCTCTGACTCTCTCTAGACATGGTGCCATGCCAGAGGAGTTCTACATTTCCTTGGCCAGTCACTTCCCATTTTGGAGACACCTGATTCAGGCATCAGATCCTCTAAAAGAGGCATGACAGACTGGATAGGGATGCTTCCAACACTAGACTCTCTCCCCATATTTCTTGTTCCCTTCCAAGCCAGGATACTCCTTTGGTGTATCTCCTATAGGTCCTTTTCACTAAAGGATTGTATAAAACCAAAACACCTTACAGTTT